TGACTATTTTGTCAAATTAAAAGAAAGAGCAAGGAGAAAGAAACACTATGATAAATCATTTTAACAGTAAGCAGTAACAATTCATGAAGGTATAATAAGGATAATGCTTCTTTAAAACACGTGCTTTTACAAGGCCCTTATACTTACTATGTTTTGGGAGAAAATAGTGGTTTATATAAATATGATTGCACGCCAAAAGCTAAACTTTTCCCAGAAAAATATTCTTTTAAATATGCATGGGATTTGGCAATTGGAATTTTCCATGCTCTTATTATGGCCAGAAGGCTGATTCTTCAGCATTGGAAAGTTAAATGGGTGGCTCTTTTCATGTAATGGATTGAAGAAATAACTGCACTTGCCACTTATGAGCGGATTGCCTATAGACGTAGACTTTGTATAGACAAGTATAATGAAATATGGGACTAATTTATACAAACACAGTAGATTAAAATATGATATTATATAAGGGTATTATAATACATATTTGTAATATTTGTATTTGTTGTTGTTTTTGTTAATTGCGAAGTCGTGTCCGACCCATCGCGACCCCATGGACAACGTTCCTCCAGGTCTTCCTGTCCTCTACCATCTTCTGGAGTCCATTTAAATTCACACCTACTGCTTCAGTGACTCCATCCAGCCATCTCATTCTCTGTCGTCCCCTTCTTCTATTGCCCTCAATCTTTCCCAGCATTAGGCTCTTCTCCAGTGAATCCTTCCTTCTCATTAGGTGGCCAAAGTACTTGAGTTTCAACTTCAGGATCTGGCCTTCTAAAGAGCAGTCGGGGTTGATCTCTTCTAGGACTGACCGGTTTGAACGCCTTGCAGTCCAAGGGACTCGCAGGAGTCTTCTCCAGCACCATAGTTCAAAGGCCTCAATTCTTTTGCGCTCAGCCTTTCTTATGGTCCAACTTTCACAGCCATACATTGCAACTGGGAAAACCATGGCCTGGACTATACGCACTTTTGTTGGCAGGGTGATGTCTCTGCTTTTTAGTATGCTGTCTAGATTTGCCATAGCTTTCCTCCCCAGGAGCAAGCGTCTTTTAATTTCTTGGCTGCAGTCCCCATCTGAGGTGATCTTTGAGCCTAGAAAAATAAAATCTGTCACTACCTCCATTTCTTCCCCATCTATTTGCCAGAAATTGAGAGGGCCGGATGCCATGATTTTGGTTTTCTTAATGTTGAGTTTCAAGCCAACTTTTGCACTCTCCTTCTTCACCCGCATCAAGAGGCTCTTTAGTTCCTCTTCACTTTCTGCCATTAGAGTGGTATCATCTGCATATCTTAGGTTGTTGATATTTCTCCCGGCAATCTTAATTCCAACTTTTGATTCATCTAGCCCTGCCTTTCTCATGATGTGCTCTGCATATAAGTTAAATAGGCAGGGCGACAGTATACAGCCTTGCCGGACTCCTTTTCCAATTTTGAACCAATCAGTGGTTCCGTGTTCGGTTCTCACTGTTGCTTCTTGACCCGCATATAGGTTTCTCAAGAGACAAATGAGATGGTCTGGTACTCCCATCTCTTTAAGAACTTGCCACAATTTGTTGTGATCCACACAATCAAAGGCTTTTGCATAGTCAATGAAGCAGAAGTAGATGTTTTTCTGGAACTCCCTAGCTTTCTCCATGATCCAGCGTATGTTGGCAATTTGATCTCTAGTTCCTCTGCCTCTTCGAAATCCTGCCTGTACTTCTGGTAGTTCTCGATCCACATACTGCTGGAGTCTAGCTTGTAGGATTTTAAGCATAACTTTACTAGCATGTGAAATGAGTGCAATGGTGCGATAGTTTGAACATTCTTTGGCATTGCCTTTCTTTGGAATTGGAATGTAAACTGACCTTTTCCAATCCTGTGGCCACTGTTGAGTTTTCCAAATTTGCTGGCAAATTGAGTGTAGCACTTTTACTGCATCGTCTTTTAAGATTTTGAATAGCTCAGCTGGAATACTGTCACCTCCACTAGCTTTGTTGTTGCTCAGATTTTCTAAGGCCCATTTCACTTCACATTCTAGGATGTCTGGTTCGAGGTCAATGACCATCTCATTGTGGTTATCTGGGATGTTAAGCTCATTCTTGTATAGTTCTTCTGTGTAGTTTTGCCATCTCTTCTTAATCTCTTCTGCCTCTGTTAGGTCTCTGCCATTTTGGTCCTTTATCATGCCCATCTTTGCATGAAACGTTCCCTTCATATCTCCAATTTTCTTGAAGAGATCTCTGGTCCTCCCTATTCTGTTGTTTTCTTCTATTTCTTTGCACTGTTCATTTAAGAAGGCATTCTTATCTCTTCTAGCTACTCTCTGGAATTCTGCATTCAATTGGGTGTATCTTTCTCTTTCTCCTTTGCCTTTCGCTTCCCTTCTTTCCTCAGCTATTTGCAAAGCTTCCTCAGACAGCCATTTTGCTTTCTTGCATTTCTTTTTCTTTGGGATGGTTTTAGTTGCTACCTCTTGTACAATGTTGCGAACTTCCATCCATAGTTCTTCAGGCACTCTGTCTATCAGATCCAGTTCCTTAAATCTATTTGTCACCTCTACTGTATATTCATCAGGAATATGATTTAGTTCATACCTGAGTGGCCTAGTGCTTTTCCCTACTTTTTTCAATTTAAGCCTAAATTTTGCAACGAGAAGCTCATGATCTGAGCCACAGTCAGCTCCTGGTCTTGTTTTTACTGACTGTATAGAGCTTCTCCATCTTTGGCTGCAGAGCACATAGTCAATCTGATTTCTATGTTGACCGTCTGGTGATGTCCATGTGTAGAGCCGTCTCTTGGGTTGTTGGAAAAGAGTGTTTGTTATGACCATCGTATTCTCTTGACAAAATTCTATCAGCCTGTGCCCTGCTTCATTTTGTACTCCAAGGCCAAACTTGTCTGTTATTCCAGTTATCTTTTGGCTTCCTACCTTAGCATTCCAATCCCCCATGATGATAAGGACATCATTTTTTGGTGTTAATTCTATAAGGTGCTGTAGGGCTTCATAGAACCTTATATTTCATCCTCTAACCTTCAATTTCATCCTCTTCAGCACCAGTGGTTGGGGCATAGATTTGGACTACTGTGATATTGAATGGTTTGCCTTGGATTCAAATTGAGATCATTCTGTCATTTTGGGGATTGTATCCCAGTATTGCTTTTCCTATTCTTTTATTGACTATGAAGGCTACTCCATTTCTTCTGAGGGATTCTTGCCCACAGTAGTATACTTGATGGTCATCTGAGTTAAATTCACCCATTCCTGTCCATTTTAGTTCGCTGATTCCTAAGATGTCGATGTTCAGTCTTGTCATCTCTTTTTTGACTACGTCTAGCTTGCGTTGATTCATGGATCTTACATTCCAGGTTCCTATGGAGAAAAAATCTTTACAGCATCGGACTTTCCTTTCACCACCAGAAATATCCACAGCTGAGCATCCTTTCGGCTTTGGCCCAGTCGCTTCATTCTTTCTGGCGCTACTAGTACTAGCCCTCTGCTCTTCCCCAGTAGCATATTGGACACCTTCCGACCTGAGGGGCTCATCTTCCAGCGTCATATCTTTTTGCCTTTTAGTACTGTCCATGGGGTTTTCATGGCAAAGATACTGGAGTGGTTTGCCATTTCCTTCTCCAGTGGATCACATTTTGTCAGAACTCTCTGCTATAACCTGTCCGTCTTGGGTGGCCCTGCACGGCATAGCTTATAGCTTCATTGAGTTACGCAAGCCCCTTCGCCACGACAAGGCAGTAATCCATAAAGGGGAATATTTGTATTAGATATGTATATATACAGAATTGTAAATGTTTACTGTTTAAAAGGGATGAGATGAAATCTAGACAAGTAGCAAAGGATAGCAATTGTTCTATGTGTGGGGGCGGATGCACATGTGCAGGCTTTTAATTTCTTGAGTTTTCTCAGGCTAGATATGCCTGCCCAGTTAATTGATGAAATGATTAGTGTTATGATGATTGGCCACCAAGAAAAATCCCAGGGATGAGACTTGACTGAGAAGAACTAAAGAAGATTCTCAGAAAAAGACTGTGGCAATCTACTCATCTATTGTTGCCAAGAAAATTGTAGGAAATATAAACTATGTAGCTTTCAGGAAGTGACCTTGATCCAAGAAAGACTTCCTCTATCCATTTTAAGAGAATTAGCCCTAGGCTTTAACCAAAGCATCATCCTATCTCTATAGCATCATAAAATCATAGCATCATATAACGTAAGGGCTGGAAGAGACTTTAAGTCTCTTTTAAGCCAATTCCTGCTCATTCAGGAGTTCATTGTAAAGGCTCTTTAAAGTTGGATATTCATGAGATAAAGAAACAAGCAGTTGCCAATTGATACATTGAGAATTTTAGGGTATACTTATTACAGTCCATTCATTAGTAAAATTTGAGAATGGTTAACAAACATCTAATGAGGCTTCAGAATGCACAAATGGGTTTCTCATGAGGACGAGGCTGGAGATAAAGGGGCCAGTTGTAGGGGGAAAAAAGGATGTTGTTTGATTGAATCATGGAAGAATCAGGAGAGGCAAAAAAATTTTTTAATCCAATATGTAACTAAACTCGAGAACATATTACTATGAGATGTGATGCTAGCTACTGCTTGCTAGCTTCAAAAAAGGATTAGATGAATTCATGGAAGTCATAGGATTCAGTGGCTCTTGATGGCAGTGTGACAGTCTCTAAAAAGACATTAATGAGTTTCCTTGTGCAGCTTGTTGGCCATTAAGAGAAAATACTGTTGGACTAGGGAGATCAAGGGTCTGGTGCATCAGGCGATTGCTTATGTTCTTACAATCCTGAGTTGATAGAACAATTTGTGGAATAGAGGAGAAAAGAACTGAGCAGACATAGGCTTAATTATCCTTCTGGAAGATTGAAGCTTCCCGGTAAGGCAGTAAAAGCTTTATCTGTCTGGTGATTTGGACAGTAATTTGTGGGGAAGTCATTTACAGACAAACATAACAACATTAATGAAATTTTGATGTCTGTTTTTCCTCTTCCTATTTTAGGAGCAACCTGCCAAAATGTCTAGCAAGAAAGAAAATGCACACAAGAAATGGAGTGTCTTGAAAGAAAGGCTGGGTTCCCAGGATTCAGATCAAACAGAAGCCAATCTGGAAAATGCGGAGCCAGAGCTCTGCATTCGTCTCTTGCAGATCCCTTCGGTGGTGAATTACTCGGGGCTCAAGAAACGGCTGGAAAGTAGTGATGATGGTTGGATGGTCCAGTTTTTGGAACTCTGTGGACTGGATCTTCTGTTAGAAGCCCTAGACAGACTGTCGGGGAGAGGAGTTTCTAGGATCTCAGATGCCCTCCTGCAGCTGACATGCATCAACTGTGTGCGGGCAGTAATGAACTCTCAGAAGGGCATTGAATATATCGTGAGCAATGAAGGTTATGTCAGGAAACTCTCTCAAGGTGAGGACACATTCTCTCTTTCTCTCTCTCTCTCTCTCTCTCTCTCTCTCTCTCTCTCTCTCTCCCTCCCTCCCTCCCTCCCTCCTTCCCTCTCTCCCTCCCCCCTTTGGATTATTTATTATTTGATTTTTTATGATTTCATGGTTGGGGATCATTATTACAGGATTTTAGAGCTGTTCAGGAATCCCTAGGAAGCACAGAAGTTAGTGGGGACAACTGAATAAACTAGCAATCATGACACTGAAAAAGATGTAGGCTTTGTCATCCCTTGCAGGGAAATCATCATGAGTGCTGTGACTTGAAATAGAGGCAGTAGAAATGAAAGCAGGACAGGAAATGTCATGACAGTATAGTTTTCTGCTGACTCAAGAATTGATGGATAATAGCTCTTCAGCTCAGCAGTGGGGAAAGGCTTTGAGTATGAAATGGCTGAAGGGTAAATAAGAATGTCCTGTCCTGTCATGTATTGTGCAATCATCTCTCCAGTGTTCTGCAGCCTTTCTCTCCTGCCACTCTTCAATTACACACCAAGGGAAAATAACATGTGTACCTATTTCAGAAAAGCAGGAAATAATTCATAAAAAGAAATTAACTCTCCCCTGGCCTTCTTCAGATCAATAGAACTCGATTGTTAGGTACACTACAAAGGGTTGAATATAAAGAGATGTCTCACAAAAAATGCCTTGTACATTATATTACATAGCTGAGGAAGAAGAAAAAAGATATGTAGAAAATTGGAGTACAGAAGTTTGGTATAGTATAGGGTATTGAATTAGCTTATAAACTGGAGAGCTGCAATCCTATCTAGGGGACGGATGTCAAATAGAATGAATTGCATTTGTATTGGGACAAGAGACAAAAAATTAAGACCCCATTCATTCCCATATTAGAGTCTCAATCTAGATTGGGTCCCCTAAATTTAGAATTAAATAGAAAAAATCATTTTCAAACTACATCATCCATAAAATACACAGTATAATTCTAATATATAATTGTCCTTTTTTGTCTTTTAAGCATTGGATACTTCAAATATCATGGTCAAAAAGCAAGTGTTTGAACTCCTGGCTGCTCTCTGCATTTATTCATTTGATGGACATGCACTGGCTTTGGATGCTCTAGACCATTACAAGGCAAGTAAAAAATCTGATATATAATGAATACCATAATCTGCATCAATCAGTATAGCTCTTCAGAATCAAACCAATTAGTCCATCTCATTGGTCCTCATTCAGAAAGTCACAAATGGGGTGAAGTCATTAAGTCTCTTCTGAACCTGCAGAGCAGGATTAGGTAATCTGGTATTTAAGACAATACAAATCTTCCTTGGCATGCTTCAGATTAGCTGCACACTTTTTATTTCCTTTGAGATTATTAAAATTTAAATTAATTAAAAACTGATAAGCTGCAAAGCAAAATGTCATTCTCCAACATCATTCAACTCTGCCCCTAAAATGACAGCAAACTTCCTCTGGACCTCATAGACATTCTTAAAAAAGAAAAATTGTGCCTATCTACAGACTAGAGTTTTGTACCCATCTACCTTAAAACACGCACACAATGAGATGGGAGGGACATTCCTTAAAATGCTAAATATGTCAAGTGGTTCAAAAAGATTGCTGGCCTCATTTTTAGAACACACATACACACAAACTCTTACCCTCCGATAAGGAATTCAACTATATTTTCCCATGTCTGTCCTTTCTGTTGCCTCTATTGACTATACCAATGGCTCCTATTAACACATTATATAGTAAGGAATTCCAATGGTGGGTAATAAATTGTGTCAAAAAAATCTTCTGTTTTTAATCTATTATTAAATGCCAGTCCATTTCAATGGCCCTCTTTCTCATAACTAAAATCATTGTTACCACAGAGATGTAGAAGCTATGGTTCCTTAATATTGCTTAACTACAAGCTTAGCCATCCAGCCTATGTGATCTCTGATGAATGCTGGGAATTAAAGTTGAATCACATCTAAAAAACTACAGGTTCTTCACATCTGAAAAAGGGAAAGTTAATTATACTTAAGACAAATAAAAGTGTTGTGATGGAAGCATTTTTTTTTTTCATCTTGCCACTTCCCATGAATTGAGGAACTTATTTCAGAGAACAACCATAGTTCAGCTTGTGAAACTTTGCAAGTTGGATTTCTAGCATAACAAGATTTCTGAATTTTCTACTTAAAACTCTAAAGATCATTGCTAAACTGAGGTGAAAATAGTAGGCTGAACAAACCTGGTTTTGAAATATAGTACTCAGTCCAGTACATCTTTGATTTGCCTCCTTTGCCACAGACTGTGAAAAACCAACAGTACCGGTTCAGCATCATTATGAATGAGCTCTCGGTCACAGACAATGTGCCCTACATGATAACACTCTTGAGTGCCATCAATGCAGTTATATTGGGAACAGAGGAACTGAAAGGGAGGATGCAGCTCCGGAATGAATTCATTGGTAAGAATGGTTTTCAGTTCAGATGTTCCATATGAAATTACCTTTGTCAGAAGATTCCCTGGCCTATCAGCAAGGCTCTAGTGCAGCGGCTCCCAACCTCTTCTATACCCCACATGCCTAGAACACCTCTGATATATTCTCGCACCCTTACAAAAGTTTGAAATGATGGCAACAAATTATGCATATACACTGTAATTTTGAAAGACCATGTTTTCGTACCCCCTGGAATATCGTCTTGCACCCATGGGTGGTGCGAGCATTCCCAGTTGGAACCCCTGCTTTGGTGGAACCATCTAAGCATTATGACCTGACAGACTTATCTACTCTGAATGTATCTAAATCAAGAAAATAAAACAAAACAAAAAGTTGGTTTCCAGAAAAACAGATCCTTCTTGCTAAACTATATTTAATCTTTTTAATTAGCAATTCCATTTTGTGTATCATTTAGCAATTTTTAAATTTACATCTGTTTCACAAAAAGATCTCCCTGTCTAAATTGGTACTCATTTAGCCATTTTCTGTGTGGCATATTTGTTAGTGTTATTGATGCTAAAGTAGTTTGTTTTTATTAGACCATATATTGACGGAGTGTTTTTTTCCTCTTCTCTATTTCCAGGTCTTCAGTTATTGGATATTTTAAGCAAACTGCGGTGAGTGATTTATTATGTAATATGTAATATGTAACTATATTATATTTGAAATAGGATAATTGTTTCACAATTTTGTACTGTAATACAGCACATGATTAAGGGAGAGGCATTTCCTTATCAGAATAATTCTTTGAGTCTACTGTTGTATCTCTAGTGTCTAGTTCCTTCTTGCAGAGTGTAGAAGGAAACAGATATGAGCTGAAATACAGTTGACCACAATAGTATTTCCTTTAAAATAGCAAGGTTTCATTGATTGTCTCTTTTGGTTCAGCAAGATTTCTATCCATCAGATTGAGTAATAATTGCTGTTTCGTTTATCTTCACCATCATCTTCCTTTATCCTTCATTAAATAAAAAAAATCTAGATATACTTTTTCAAATTATTTTCTATCAACTTGAGATCTGTAAAACTTGCTTAAAATTTGACTGTCTTAGCAATCTCCCCAGAAACTACTTGAAACTATTTTGCAGTGGTCATCTCTATTCCCACTGAAGCTAAAGCGGCCTAGGCTAGCTAATCTAGATTACAGTGTGATGGTTGTCACATCTGGTTGGTCTGTCTGTGTGTGTTACTTGTAAAATTATGTGTTACCTGTAAAAAGTTCTTCTTTGAGGGAGAAGGACAGTTCAGAAATATAGTAAGTATGTATGTAAGTAAGTAAGTAAGTAAGTAAGTAAGTAAGTAAATAATCAATCTTGTCATTATGATAACAAGCAAACTATCATTCTTTCTTTCTTCCGTATAAGTTTGGTTTTAGGATAAACTTTTATTCCCACATTTCTTTAGCTTGAAATTTCATCAACTTAAGAGTTTTCATCAGTCAGATACAGAGATGGGATATTCGCATCTACTACAGAATTATTAACTGTTATGATTTTAAAATTTAAAAAGTTATCTTGATTAATGAATTGCTAATATTTATTGTTGTGGGTTTTATATAGAGACATAGAAGATGAGGACCTGCTTATCCAGTGTGAGACATTTGAGGAGGCTAAGACTGAAGATGATGAAGAGTTACTGAGAATATGTGATGGCATTGATATGAATAATCATCAAGATGTTTTCTCATCTCTGTTCAACAAAGTAATATTTTCTTTTTAATGCAACATATAATTCCTCTTTCTTTCTGCTTCCCTTCATCATCCCATAGAATCAGCATTCCTAAATACTGATTTAAAACTGTACAAATATTATATATCAAAAGTTAAGAGAATAAAACTTTAATAAGCCACACAATCAATTAAAGACACAGTGTACAGTTGGCTTCTTATACTCGCTCTGGGGACACTCAGTTCCAAATCATCTTCAGAAATTGACTGAATATTTCAGGCCAATTAGTATGATGGAGAGTGTCTTGAGCTCAGGAGGAAAGGGAATGATCCTAGAGTCATCCTGACTTTTTAAACAGCTCTCATCCTACCCCTTTGTCACCCAGCTTTGATGTTTTCCTTTTGAAAAATAATCATCTAAAATCTGGGGCAAGTCTGTGAAAATTGGTCTTGCTTTAATATAATCCATTGAATTCTCTGCGTAAACCTGCTGCTTAAATATGAAGCATAATACTTTCATAGTTGCAGAACACCATTTCACTAGTTTGTAGAAGCAAAGTGGCATTTTCCCCCATATGAGCTTTATATACTATTTGTAATTGTTATCTGTTCTAGTACAAGGATATGCGCTGCATTTGCATACATACCCATTGAATTTACATCTTGAGATTCTTTCCACAAATGGGAAATACACACACACACACACACAAATATAGAGAGAGGGGGGGAAGGAAGAGAGAGAGAGAATGTAATGTTAAAGAAGTCCTTAAAGATTTTACTCCAATAGTTGTTGCCAACTTCAGGGGGCGGTGCTCATCTCCATTTCAAGGCCATTGAGACAATGCTATCTGAAGACATTTCTATGGCCATATGGCCAGCATGATGTCATGGAGCACTGTTATCTTCCCACCACTAGTGGTACCTATTTATCTACTCTCATTTGCCTGCTTTCAAACTGCTAGGTTGGCAGGAGCTGGAACAAGGACAGGGGCTCCCCCTGTTGCATGGTGTTCAGATCTCAAATCTGGGCTACTAGCTTTCCAGCCTGCAAGGCCAGCGTCTTAACCACTGAGCCATTATGCCATCCCATATATGCATATATATCTAGATATATCAATATGGTTATATATCATTAGATAATTATATATAGAATAGTAACTCTTTGCTGTTGTAACAATCATTGAATCTAATTTTAATAAAGACTCATCTTATGGCTCTGGTTTTTTGGTAGCACTGATTGTAATACTAGAGTAGCATCACTACAGTGGCATCAGTACTGTAATATATACAGAGATAATAGTTCAAAGTTTCACTTTCTGTTTTAGGTGAGCAGCTCCCCAGTCTCCATTCAATTGCTGTCCATTCTCCAGAGCCTCTTGCATCTCGAACCATCTCATCGCTCCAGCCTGTTGCTCTGGGAATCCTTAGAAATGTTAGTAAGCAGAGCCATCTTGCTTGCAAATGACAGTAAGTTTTAAGGCACTGTGATGCATCTCATGTTCCCCAAAAAACAAAACAAGCCAAAATACAAGTTTCATGTTTAGTTTAAGAAATCTGGCTCTGGAATTGTGACCCACCAGGTTTATAACAGACTTCTGCCCCATTTATATCATCTTCCTAGACCAACAGAATAAAGGAAAAAGTACTTTGGCACTAGAGGACAGGTGGCAATAGAAAATTGTGGATGAAAGATTGTGTTGCTCAAAAACAATATAAGTAAACATTTTCTATCTAATTTCCTGTTTCCTGTTTCCTTCTAAAGAAAGTTTGCTGCCAGAGAATTCTTTATCCAGAACAAAGGGAGTTATCACTGGAAACAATGCTGGATTATGTATGAGCCAATAAACTGAGGTTCAGTCCACGCAAGATAGAAGTTCCATCAGCTGTTTTAGGAAGTGGATTTGGTTTGCAGCTTAGGATATTTCCAGGTCAGGTCACAGTTGTGTTCACAGATGGTACTGCACTGATTTGGCTGATATATCTTCTGGTTGTTATATTATAGAAAAAGGATGTCAAACTCACAACGTCACATGATGTGTCATGACATATCGTGACTTTTTTTCTGTTGCCAGCAATGGGGTGGGCACGGTTTTATCATGACGCATCTGGCCCGCGGGCCGGCAGTTTGACACCCCTTTTATAGAAGATGATCTTACCACAATGACCTTGCTTTAGTTAGGTCTGAAAGATTTCTAGTTCATGGAGAATGCACTCATGCTAGGCATGAGACCTTTATTAATAGGCTTTCTTCAACTCATACTATGATCCCATTATCAATAATCCTTATGCAAAAGGTAATTTTCTGCCGAAAAAGACAGATGTTTAGATCTCTTATGCCTTCAGGTTATTACTGCACCCAGAGTATACAACTACCTGATCATTGCAATAAATGCTTGAATACAGAGGGAATCTCAGTTGAGCCTATTTCATTTATTAGTCTCAATTGTCACTATAAAGTTTTGATTCTTAAGGTTCAGAGTTTGTGTATGGTTTCTCTGGTTCATAAATCCCCGTATGGGCTCAAAATCACCCTTCCCTCTACTCAGTCATTAATGTAACACTCTCTTCAGACAACAGTAAATGCCTCTACACTGATATGGTCAAATGGCAAAACACAAGCAAGGAACATGTTTACATATATTCACTTAAGTAGTTTCTTAGGTGATCTTGTAAAATTGCATAGTGAGCATGAGAAACAAAAATAAGAATATACAAAAATAAGAACAGAGTAGCTTTCCAACTGTTAGATCAGCACGAGCAACAGAGAAAATACTACATCTTTCAGTATTTTACAAATAACGTAAAGGAAAAGTCTGTGAAAGCCTTTCCTATTCTCAACTCTCCTAATAAAAAGCTTTTTCAAGAAATCAAAATAAACATTTAAATTTAAATATAGCAATTTTACTTTTAATAAAAATATAATAATATGAAATACATATGTAATATACTTGTCTTCAGTTATGGCAGTCATAGTTACAGGGTTACCAATCAGTGTTGCATTCTAGTATGAAGTAGAGAAATAGCAGAAAGGGATATGAACTTCAAACAGAAGATAAAAAGTTCAGACATCAATACACTTCAAGCAGGAGCACTTAAAGAAAATGGTGGAGACAGAGTGCTGATTTTTTTTTTATGCATAGCTCTCCAACTGACATTCTCTCTTAAAGTAGATCCGTTTGGCTCCACAGTTGCCTGGTTTGGGAAGGAAGGCTATAAGACACCCCATGTCTAGCATAGCAGCCCCAAACCTTTTGGGCATAAGGGACTAGTTCAGTGGAAAAGGTTTTTGCTGTGAATCGGAGGGGATGTGGTTTTGCATGCTGCCTGCATCCCAAGGATGGGGCTTTGCTTGTTTGTGCATGCCGTGAACCAGTGCCAGTCCACACACTGAGGCTTGGGTGTACACTATGTAGCTTGAACCAAACAAATTGCTTATTTCTATGTTTTAAACCATTTTTCCCTGATTTTCATCTGTATGAATCTGTTTGAAAACATTGTTCATTTTCAAAAGATACCATCTTAAAAATGTTCATTGTGACATTTATTTGAAAAGAGAATAAGATTTTAGTTTGTTTTACTCTATTCTATCTAATATTTTACAGTAGAAGATAATAGTGTGGAAGAAGTCATGGAGAGATTGTTGTCTGTCAAGAAGCAACCCAAGAAAAGAGATTTAGGTTCCAGAAAAACAGCTAACAAGGTGAACGAAAGCACTCAGACCCATGAAGATCTGGGACAATGCCCAAACACCACCCAGAGCTCTCCTCCAAGAACTTGCTCTTCCAACATTCCAGCTAATATAGAGCCACACGATGTGTCTAAGGTTGCATCCTCCTGCTTTTCCGTCAGCTCAGCTTCACCAGAATGGAATCTATCTTCAGCTGCTGCTCCTCTTCCCCTCCCAGGAACATCAGACATGTTGCCACAACAGCCATCTCCTCAACCTGTGATACAAATGCCACCATCAGTTCCCACATTGCATGATGAAGCAACAATCTCACCCTTTCCTCCTCTGCCTGGGATGACAGGCATTCCTCCCCCTTCCCTGCTGCCCAGTATGACAGGGATCCCTCCCCCTCCCCCTCTGCCCATTATGATAGGAGCCCATTCCCTACCTCAAAATTCAGCTGGGCCACCACCACCTCCCCCGCTGCCCAATATGATAGGCATCCCTCCTCCTCCCCCACTGCCCAGTATAACAGGGATCCCTCCTCCTCCCCCACTGCCCAGTATGACAGGGACCCATTCCCTGCCCCTAAACTCAGCCATGCCACCACCACCTCCCCCACTGCCAGGCGTGGTAGGGATCCCTCCCCCTCCTCCACTGCCAGGCTTCATAGGGATTCCTCCCCCTCCTCCACTGCCAGGCCTGGTAGGGATCCCTCCCCCTCCCCCTCTTCCTGGTACTGCAGGAGTGCCACCGCCACCCCCACCACTCCCAGGCATGCCACCTCCTCCTCCCCCACTGCCTGGGATGGAAGGGCTACCACCCCCTCCTCCACTGCCAGGCATCCCACCTCCACCACCTCTAGGAGGCAATGTAGAGGTAATTGTCCCTGCCTGGGCCAACACTCTGAGCTATGCCGCACCACCCCCTAAAAGAATGAAGATGCCAACACTAAGGATGAAGAAGCTGAATTGGCAGAAGCTGCCCTCCAATGTCGTGAGAGGTAAGCACTTCTGAAGTCTTCAAGTCAGACCATTCCAGTGAGGCTTTAAAGAAAACTTCTTGGTTTTTTTCCAGTAGATTCTTTTCCTTCACAGCTGAGTCTGCCCCTGTGCTAGGATTCCCTTTGGCCATCCTGTTCTCTCTGTGCTGCGACTGAAGTAATGGAAGCAGGAAAAGGACCCAGATTGTTGGGGGCAATGTAAATATATATATACATTGTTTACTGGTGTACACCGCTTAGAGAGTGCTTGCACTTAAAGCGGTATATAAGTCTCATAAATAAATAAATGTAAGCTAAGCCTTTACATTCATGTAAACCCTCTCATGCATTCTTTTTTGAATGAGATGAAAGCAGAATTTGAATATTTTAATGTAGATTGTAACTGACATATTTTAAGATTATTTTTGAAAGAAAGAAAATGTATCAGTACAGTCCATGATATAAACTTACAAGGTTTTGATGAATAGTTCTCTTTAAGCTGCAGCACTGCCATTTTTAAATTTTACCCCTTTGCATGTCATCTGCAAGTAAAAAAGCAGAGAAGAAATTTCCCGTTTTTGGAAAAGCATTATCATTCAGTATATTATCAAGAGTACAGAGTGTGTTAGCAATGAATGGACTTTCTCACGAATCACATAATTTCAGAGTTGCTCAGGGCATTCAGGGAAGTTACATTTCAATTCTTGCCATTCCCAAAGTGGGGGGAAAATGGACATAGGGATCAGCTAGAAACCATGGAGGGCTGAGCCAATCATTGCACTGAATTTTTTATTACTGTAGCCCTAGTAATCATCCTATAAACTAAGAATATTGGAGTTGAAGGCAGCAGATGGGGAAAGGTCAGGAGTAAGGTTACTACAAGTATTTTCCAGTTTTCTATTGAAAGTCTATGTCAACTAAATAATTAGCAATTTTAATTATTGGATATGTTTCTGTAAATATTTTGCTTTGCATTTTTCTTGTGTGTGTGTGTGTGTGTGTGTGTGTGAGTGTACAGGTAGTCTTTGACTTACAACAGTTGTTTGGTGACTGAAGTTACAGCAGCACTGGAAAAAGTGACTTATGACCATTTTTCACACTTATGAATGTTGCAGCATCCCCTTGGTCATGTGATCAAAATTCAGACACTTGGCAACTGACTCGTATTTCTGACGGTTGCAGCATCCTAGGATCAAGTGAACACCTTTTGTGACCTTCTGACAAGCAAAGTCAATGGGGAAGCCAGATTCACTTAATAACCGTATTACTAACTTAACTACAGCAGTGATTCACTTAACAACTGTGGCAAGAAAGGTTGTAAAATGCGGCAAAATTTACTTAACAACTGCCTTGCTTAACAACAGAAATGTTGGGCTCAATTATGGTCATAAGTCAAGGACTACTTGCATATGTATATCCTGCCATTCGTTCAGAAACTGAAGACAATTTATTTGTCCCACATTACAAATGCTGAATTGGTCCTATCCTTTCAAAGGCATAGATATGGACTGTGAAGCTATGAGATGTAACCCACCATTCTGCCCTTGTGTCTTTCAGAGAGTCACTCCATGTGGGCATCAGTAACAAGAACGAGTGAGGAATCTATTGAGCCGGATTACTCTAGAATAGAACAGTTGTTTTGCTTTCCACAAAACAAGCCCAAATCAAAGGAAGTTGCGCCAGTGAAGGCAGAACCAAAAGAGGTATACTGATAATCTGCTTGAACTAACTCTATTCATTTGGATGTTTGTTTGAACCATTCAAGAGTTCCCATATATCAGGTGTTTGTTACCCAAGTAAGTAAGTTTTTGAGGTTAGAAGAAATATGTTTTTTTCATGTTAGTTTTAGGGTTGCACACGCTTTAAAAATGATTTGCCAGGAATGCTTCAGCTGTTACGTGAGTTTGGGAAAACAGGTCGCTACTCTTGATTAAAGCTTATACTGTGTACATGCAAGCATGTAAAATGATGTGGCCACTCTAAACATAATAATAATTCTTTTTTTTCAAGAATTATTCCCAATACAGCAATTTTAATTAGTTCATTATTTAGGGCAAATGCATATAATCCATTACTAATATTCTCAAAACAGGGTTCTTAACAGAATTCAGAGTGGAGGTGATGGGCAGCAGGGAGAAATCAGAACTGCTTAATTCCTTCTTTACACAAAAGGAAAAAATAGCCCAATCTATCAAAAGCAACACTGGGAGACAGAACAGGAATGTGGGTCAAAATAGGCAAGTAATTGATAAGAGAACTCCTATCTGCTTTGGATGAGTTCAAATCTCCAGGACCAGATGGTTTGTATTTCGGAGTACTAAAGTAGCTGGCGGATGTGATCTCAGAACCACTGAATGAAAATTTTCAGTGCTGGGGGAAAAGATTTGATGTGGTTCCAATATTCAAAAAGGGTAAACTGCACTCAGCATGTAGTCCTCTATGGAGCTACATCTACATGAGGGGGAAGCACTCAGTGGGATATCTCAAAGTTCTGTCTTGGACCAGGGGTCTTCAGTATCTTCATAAATGATGTAGATGAGGGGATAGAAGGGGAACTCATCAAATTTGCAGAAAACACCAAGCTGAGGGGAATTGCCAACACTTTGGAAGAAAGATTCAGAATAATCTTGACAGACTTGGCAATGGTATCCAACATGCAGTTCAGTGGTGAGAAAAGTAAGATCCTGCATTTAGGCAGGAAAAACCAAATGCATATGTATAAAATAGGAGGTATCTGGCTCAACACTAGTAACTATAAGAGGGATCTAGGTGTGCTGGTGGATCACTACTTATGTATGAATCAGCAGTGTGCTGCAGCTCCCAAAAAGTTCTAGGCTGCATCAACAGTGAAATAGCATCAAATCATGGGAAGTGATAGTACTACTCTACACTGCACTAATGATGTCACACTGGGAACATTGTTTCTAGTTTACCATGATTCAGAAATGGTGCTGAGCCTTTAGAGAGAGTGCAAAGAAGAGCAACAAAGATTATAAGGGGTCTGAAGGCTAAATCATATGATGAACAGGTATGGGAACTAGGTTTAACCTAATGAAGAGAAGGCACAGGAGAGACATGACAATAGTCTTCCAGTATTTGAAGGACTGTCACAGGGAAGAGGGTGTCGATTTATTTTCCATAGCACCTGAGTGCAGGACAAGAACAATTGGTGCAAGCTCATCCACGTAGATTCAACCTGGAAATGAGGAGGAATTTCCTGACAGTGAGAATGATTAATCAATGGAACAGCTTGCCTCCTGTAGTTGTGGGTGCCAGAAGTTTTCAAGAAAAGATTGGACAACCATTTGTTGTCCAGGGCTCCTGCCTTAGGCAGGCAGTTGGACTAGAAGATCTCCATAGCCCCTTCCAGCCCTATGATTCTCTGAAGTTCCGAAAATTATTATTATAATTCATCACACAGTCAGCCAGATGTTTAGACTGGATTTGGCACTTTTATCCACCTATCAAGTTCTTATTATTATTTACGTATTTAAATTTGTTGGCTACCCAACTCCAGTGAACTTTAATCTTAATGTTAAACTAATGCCACAATAAAAGAATGAAAATAAAACATTGGCATTATTCACACTTGCCAACTGATGATAGCATTCTGTAGATTTGGCAAAGTCCATTTACAGTGCCCTAAGTCTTCTTATTTTACAAATTTCTATAAAAATAAGGCTAAAAATAACTGGCAAGTGGTCTTAATTTACACTTTGTAATGAATTTATAAAACTGACTAAAAATGTTTCAATTTTCCAAAACAGATTACATTTTTAGATTCCAAAAAGAGTCTTAATTTGAACATATTTTTGAAGCAATTTAAGTGGTAAGTGGTATTTTTATATTGTTAAAATAATGCTAACATGAGAAATAATATTAGTAATAATTAACACTGCCATCTTGTGGTTATTTTATGTACTTTTTATAGGTTTACATATCTATTTTCTTAAACTGCATTGAAACATACAGTAATTACAACAGATTAGAACTTGTACTGTTATATAAAGCTTATCATACATTTAGAATCAGACATGTACACACATATACACATGAAGCCTCTCCAAGTAGCCATCTTGCTTTACTGAAACTTATTTTTGCATTGAGGAAAAGAGGAATATTCTGTCTATACTCTGGGACCTTTATCAGGAGGTATCTTTGTCTAAAGTATGATATATGTTTGCCCCACATACTTGGGATTGATTCCATTTTGGACAGATTCTACCTATCATCATAACATAATAGACATGGCCTAAAATTAGACCTGAGTAGCTTTTTACTTAAGCCTAAAGAACTATGTCCTCATTCATCATTTACCCTACCTAGCATCCGCATTCATTGATAGCCAAACTCAGAATATACCTGCCATGACTAATTATTGCTAATTGATTTATCTTTCTTAAGTATACCATTCCTTTGTGAATCTAATTTAGCTAGAAACCAATACTGAATTTTGTTGTAATGAATTCCAATTGTCAACTGTAGGCATAGAATGAAGAGACCTTTTCTCCTCTGACTGGAACATGCTTGTTAATCAATTTCACTGAGTGGACACAATATTTTATAGCAATAGCAATAACACTTAGACTTATATACCATCCCATAGTGCTTTGCAGCATTTTCTGCACAGTTTACAATGTCCGCATATTGCCCCCAACAATATGGGTGCTCATTTTACCAACTTCAGAAGGGTGGAAGGCTGAGTTAACCTTGATCCCATCAGAATCAAACTCCAGACTGTGGGGTTACGGATAGCATGCAATACTGCATTCTAACCACTGCACCATCAGGACTCCTTATGAAAAGAAAAGAAGAGAACCCTGCCTTTGCTTTCCCCATAATTACATAATAGTGACTGCATCTAATCCACAATCTCTTTTATCCACAGCACAAATGAGGAGGTGGTTAAAATGATTCAGGAAGGTGACAGAACAAAGTTTGATGTTGAAGTGCTCAAGCAGCTTCTTAAACTCCTACCAGAAAAACATGAAGTAAGACAAACAACAAAAAGTCTATTGTTTCAATTTTTCTTTGTATTGCATTTGCTGCATTTATACATCATAATTCAATAATAAATATGTGTATATGTAGGCTAGAATAGATTGTTTTTGGATGTGATATTAAATTCTATATATCTCTATGCATATATATAGATAATATAAATATACTGTATATGTATACGTATATATATAGAGAGAGAGGTATTTTCTAGCCTCTTCATAGTGTCAGAAGCTGTCTCCTCAGAATTAAATTAATCAGAATTTAATATTAGATCCAAACAAAAATGTAGTCAATAAATTAATGATTTATTAAAATACAACAGCTTCTTAGTCCATCATGATGCTCAGAACCATAAGCCTTTGTATATAATAATAATAAAGTTGGAAGGGACCTTGGAGGTCATCTAGTCCAACCCCCTGCTCAGGCAGGAAACCTTATACCATTTCAGACAAATGGCTGTCCAGTCTCTTCTTAAAAACTTCCAGTGTTGGAGCATTCACCGCTTCTGGAGGCAGGTTGTTCCACTGATTAATTGTTCTAATGTGGAAACAGCAATGTTACTGGAACATGACTTTTCTCTTTTCTTGCTAGATAGAAAATTTGAAAGCTTTCAAAGAAGAAAAGGAAAAATTAGCAAATGCAGATCAGTTCTATCTTCTACTCCTTGGAGTTCCTAGGTAAGAGAAATGTTAATGAGAATATTTCCTTAAAGGAACATACATTTAATTAGTTAATTTAAGTATACATATTTCAAACATTTCTAAAGCAGGAAATATCATTTGTTTTAAATGATTCCAGTGCTATCATAGTAGTCCCAGAAGAGTTATAGATGGCAGGAAGAGGAAATCTTTTTCAGATGGCAGTTTTCTGCACTTTCAGAAGTACTAGTATAAAGAGGTTTTCTTTAATATCTAAATGAATGGGTTAAAAGGTAACTTGATAAAATAAAAATAGTGGTTTAATGTGTTCAGTTGGCAGTTTAGAATAATATTAATACAAAATATTTTTTACACAAATAAATTATGCCATCTTCATACAGGTAGTCCTTTACCTACAGCCATTCGTTCCTGACTCTAGGATTGAGAAGCTTTCTTCCTGGTCAACAAATGGGAAATAACTCAGAGAAAAAAGCCTGTTAAGGTTCTCACAGCATGGGCAGATATGGGCACATTCTCACACAGAGATAGTCAATTCTTCAAATGTTCTCATCCCAAGATATGGAGCGCTTATAGTATATTAATATTGACCCCAAAATAAAACAGGAGCCAGAGACGGTGATGAAGCTTACCATAATACATTATAATACCCAGGTCCATTTAAAGCAGTGGTTCTCAACCTTTCTAATGCCGTGACCCCATAATACAGTTCCCCATGTTGTGGTGACCCCCAAGTGGGTGTGGCCACCAATAAGAGGGAGTAGGACAGCTAGGGAAAAGGGAACAAAATGTGGACAGCATGGTTTGGCGACCCCCATGAAATGGTAGTTCGACCCCAAATGGGGTCCCGACCCACAGGTTGAGAACCACTGATTTAAAGCTTAGTTCCTGCATTTGGGGTGGGGGGACTTCTTAAAGATCTTCAGATCATTAGCCTTGTGGTGAATATAAAAGTAATCTAGCTATCGAGGTTAACAAATCCAGTTGATGGACTAACCAAATTTGTAAAACAAAATTTAGGGGAAAAAAATCTGCCCCTTCACTGACAAATATGATTTAAGGAACTAACCCACAACTTGTAAGCCTGTCCTTCACTCAGTCCACCACAGCAAATATGCTACCCATTAGTAGCAGTTCAAGAACCCTGAGTTTCTTGAACATCACTGAATTTATTCTGTCCTGAAAACAGGTCAAAATAAATGATAGAGGGCTGGGTAGATGGTCTTCACATATCCAAGCTATCGAAGATAATGATGCAGATAGATCTTGATGATTCTATTTTGATATCATGATTAATAACTGTTTATTTATTTATTTATAAAATTTATTGGCCTCCCATTTTACCACAAGGTAACTCTAGGTGGCTTACAGTCATAAAAATATATCTACATTAAAACATAAATAAATTAAAACCAAAGATTAAAATCTAAGGACATGTGGGGATGGCAGGAGTGGAATGGGGGAAGGTGGGATCTGTTGTTACTCAATGAACCACCCCCACTGTGCTGTTAATGTTTAAATAATGCTAATGTATTAATAATGGGTTTAATATTCCCAGTTTTCCTATATTGCCTATAGGAAAGCCAAGCATTTAAATTTGCAAGATACATTCAACTGTTTTGCTACATAATAGTGATTGGTTTGAAAAAATGTTCATTCTAGCTCTGTTGGGTGCACAGAATTCAATGTGGTATTTGTATGATTTCTCCATTCTAGCTACCAATTGAGGATTGAATGTATGCTACTATGTGAAGAGACTGCTGTTCTGTTGGAGATGTTGCAGCCCAAAGCAGAAACAATAAGGAGGGCTTGTGAAGGTTAGTGATTGTTTAAGGCTTAAGTATGGTTTGGGTGTTGTGAGTTGTCTGAAGAACGGCCAGTTCCTTTTCAATCTAAAAATCACAATTTGCTGAGAAATCAAAATCTAGCACCTTTGCAGAGGGGCAGGACTTAAATGGTTTGGTCATTGCTTATGTAAATGCATAGATCTGTGTTTGCTCAGAAGATCCATGTCCGCCTCTGCAATATGTAGAAAATATTTGTGTTCTCAAGATTTAGTTAGCCAATCTTCTCAAGATTTAGTTAGCCAATCTTTTCAGAATGTATGAAGCATTTATCAGTTTGGTATGCAGTGTACTAATCCCATTTGCTTAGCAACAGAAATCCTACTCAGGCACTCAGCTTTGAAGCAATGAAAACATGCAAGGTGGAAAGCAAAACCTCACTCAGTATGTCCATGCTTTTATCATATTCCATACTTACTGTATATATGTGTCCATCATACCATTCCCCTTTGGGGTAAATAACTGCAGGCAAAGGAAAGCGAAGGAGTAACCCTAACCCTAAGAAACAAGAAACAGAAAAGGAAACAGCTAAACCTAATTTCCATGAACAACAATCACTACATAGCCTTTTATCCTTTATTCTGTCACGATTTGCAGCATACATACATTTTTATCAATTTCATTAAATCATGCTCCACCCTCTCATCATGTTCACTCTTGCTTTACATGCTCTTCCTGCAAGATTCAGATGGATCTCGCTCTACTGTTATTCAGAAAAGCACTGAAGGCCTGGCTTTTCACCCAGGCTTTTGGCTAGGGATAGTGAGACCCTTCACTTCATTCCATCTGGTCGAATTTCCCATCTTTGGTTGAAGTTATTGTAATTTCTTTGCTTGATTATTGTGATCTGTCCAAAGTCACTGAGTGTCAGGCAACATATATGTTTAATAAATTGTTGCTCTTGTTGTGATTTGATCTTTAGTCTCTCTATCTTAATGACCAAACCACCTCAATATATTCTTTCATATTGATCAATCACTTCTATACCGCGTGAGTCAATGTTTATTCAGCATCCATTTATTCTTGACTGCATCTCTTCTTGTTTCATCACACCACAATTCATTCTCATTACATTCAGATTATTTTTGTTTCTCCTGACATTGAACCTTTACTTCCATAATACACAACAAAGAGGTCTTTTTAATATACAATTTTTTAAAAGTTATTTTGATAAGCATTCTCTTCTGAAAATAGACCACAGTGTATGGACAAGCTTTATCTTAGCATTTGTACATTATAAAATATCTCCATTCATTTTCCCACCTTCAGTAAATATTCTGCTATCTGCTCTTTTTTTTCCCCACTTAGGTGCAGCTGTAGAATCATCAAGTTGAAAGGGATCTCAGATGACATCTAGTCCAAGCCTTGGCTTGGTGCACAATCTGCTATTACATATGTTCTCACACAATGTTTATTTCAGTCACTTACCTCTAATATGACCCTTAACAAACAAATTTCAATTCCACATTAATGCAAAACATACCACATTGAGGCTATTTATTTTGCCATGCAAATCAACAAATACAGATTAAAAATTCTTTCTCACATTCATACAATTTTTACTGATCTCCCAAAAACAAAAATTCAATTTGCATGGTCTTGTCCAGAGGTAGGCAACCTTGGCTCTTTTATGACTCGTGGACTTCAACTTCCAGAATTCCTGAGCCAGCCATGCTGGCTCAGGAATTCTGGGAGCTGAAGTCCACGAGTCATAAAAGAGCCAAGGTTGCCTACCCCTGGTCTTGTCCAACATAAAAATGCATTGCAATTCCCAGATGGTGTTCATCATCCCTTCTGCACTCTTTGAGTAGAATTCTTAGACACACTTAATTAACAAACCCCCTGTTGCCAGCTACCACCTTATGCTTGCTTGTGCTTTGCTGCTATATGGTGACAGATTGCCATGTGGAGGGGGGAATGAAGGGGGAAAACTTTGGGAAATGAAAGTAAGTATCTCCTCCAGACACTGCCTCAAGGTTACCCAGCTGGAAGAAGGAGGGGGCCACATACCAAACTGCACTTGGATTGACTGTTATGAAAACATCTTGCCTGAACCTGATTGGTTACCCTGGGTTGGGCAGTGAGAGATAGTTAAGGGAGGGAAAAGTAGAACTTAAGGATTTGGGTGCGCGATTCTCAGTTCTGGCTTTGCAATATTGCAATACACTTGATCACTAATAAACTATACCTTTCTCAACAAATGGAGCCAAGGATCATTTCTATTTAGAGATTTAAGTTGTGGCCAGCCCAACACCTGTAGTTTTTGCATTTACTCTTGCTCCGTTTACATTTGCAGAGAGGAACAGTAGCCGCATTCTTTTACTCATTAGGCATGGGTGTAGTCTTCATGTATACACACTAAACAAATCACACGTCCATAAGAAAAAAGCTTTTATATTTAAAATTTCTCCAGTTACACCATCTATACCTGCAACCTTATTATTCTTCAACATTGTTCCAACATTTATTATTGGTTAATTAAAAATTGAAAACACTCATTAAATTGATATTTTCACCAGGTCATCTGTGTTCACCTATTTAACAGGTTTTCTTTCCTCTTAGATCTCATTTCAAGCCAACGGTTGCCCGTTTTCTGTCAACTGATTCTCAATGTTGGAAACTTCCTAAACTATGTAAGTGATCTTGAAAAAATGCACATTTTTAAAAAGCAATGAGTAAAATGGTGGTGTTCTTCTTGCCTGTTTTGCAAATATTGTTCAAGCCAGCATTGTGAAACTAGCAAATATAGTACTGTTCATTATTTTTGTTGTTCTTTTTCTCTGAAAGGGAAGTCACACAGGAGACGCTGATGGCTTTAAAATTGGTACTTTGCTCAAGTTAACAGAAACTAAAGCAAACCAGACTCGCATTACACTGCTCCACCATATATTAGAGGTAGTTTCTGTTGTTTTTCATTGATAAATATAACAATAATAGTAAAATACTAATAGAAAGAAACTGATGCAGCTATATCAATATACTAGTCAGAAACCATCTATTTAAGATGATGTCTTCTTTTATTTTGCTTCTGTTTATTTGTTTCCCTAATAATTTTATTGCAAAAATATTTGAGGGAGATGGTATTTAATAGGTCTTGGCCAAATACATATGCACAATATTTTGCTTACACACAATATTTTTATGACTCTATTTAGTGTTTTTCTTGCTCATCTAGCTTTATTGATTTGTTTTGCTTTTTTATTAATGCCAAACATTTTGTCAAATTTTTATTTACACTTTTTAATCTGCTTTTCTGGTATTAATTATACTGCTCAATTTAGTCCAAGGGAATGTAAGACATCCTTGCAAAATTATGGCAGTTCTCTGTTTTAGAATGCATCCAGCCTAGAGATGGAAGAGATTATTCTTTTCCCTTTTATCTTGCTAGTAGATATTTATGGTTGCTTTTTGAACTGACTCTTCGATTTTCACAAAGTTTAACAAATGTATTTTGGCATAACACAGTCCAGTTCATCAAAAGTAGCGGCAGCATCTCCTTTCTGGAACAATCTGCCCTTGATGTATAACTGGCCCAACCCTTTTGGCCTGGATGAAGGGAATCCCAATTGGTTGAGTTGCAGTATATTTTGGTCTGATCACCATTTTATTGTTCACACAAGATGTTTGGAAATTTTTGCAACAACGCTTTAGAAATTAGTTTTTAATTCCCATTCATTGATCCAGATTCATCTGTGTTTAATAGTTAAGCTGAATGCAGAGAATTCAAGGCAGATCTACCCCATTTAGTTTCATCCAACTGCAGAAACTAACATGCTTCCAGGATCACCCATGGATGTTCAGGGATACTTAGGTAGAGAGATCACCCCTTTGGTAGATCTCTGTTTAACTAAGACTTTGGCAGGCAGCCAGTATTACTGCAGCCATCGTAAATCGTACATGTGTATAATTGGAATTTTTACATTTTCTCTTTTTTCTTTTTTTTTGGTTTAGGAAGTGGAAAAAAATCACACCGATTTGCTTAAGCTTCCCAAAGATCTTGAATGTATTTCAAAAGCAGCTGGGTAGGGATCACTATATTTTTTTTATTATTGGCAATTTTTATAGACATACTTCTTTCTTGCATTATTGTTGAAAAAAAAAATAACTCAGTAAATAAATCAGGCCATCTTTAATAGGTAAGTAATTTGATGACTCATATTTTAAAAGTATGGTTTTTAATGTTCATCATCAAAAACATGTTCATGGCAAGAGACTAGTTTGAGGCTCCATGATAATAGCCTAAAACCTTTGAAGTTGTTTTCTGCACAATTAGGGTTGTACAATCCCATCTCATCTACAGAATTCCCACTTTGTTCCTATGAATCAGTAGATGCAGAAACAGCATGTTATGGCTTGTTTCTTTTCAGAATCAATCTAGACGTGATTCATTCTGAATCCAGCTCCAACATAAAGAAATTGCTGGAACTTGAACGGAAGCTGTCATCCTCAACTGAAGAAGTGAAAGCCCAATATGGAACAGCCATTCAGGTTGGTGTAACACAACTCTTCATGCTTCCTTGGAGGATACATCCACTGTTTCCATGAAGTTAGCTACTACTACAATTGTGTCAGAAGCACCTTTCAAGGCACTTCTGGGTTGAAAGGATTAGTCAGAGACATCACCATTGTCCAGGGGATGCACAAGGGTACTCCTTTCAGGTCCTTACTATTTTTTCCACCAAGTTGGTACCTATTTATCTACTAGCATTTGCATGCTTTTGAACTCCTAGGTTGGCAGTTGCTGGGACAAATTGACAGGAGCTCATTCTGTCACGTGGCTCACGCTCTAAGGTTTTGAGCTGCCAAGCTATCAACCTCTCAGCGGTCTTCAAACTCATTGTCCTAGCCACATGAGCCACTGCAACCCCTATGAAGTTAGTTGATCCTTTTTGAATTTCAATTTTAATGTTTTCCAGGATAGCTTAACTGCTAACAGAAAGCTGGAGGATGAGTTTGAACTCATTGAAACTAAGAGAACGGAGCTTGCCAACTATCTGTGTGAAGATCCAAACAAATTGTCTTTGGAGGAGATATTTAATACTATGAAAATCTTCCGTGATCTCTACATCAAAGCACTAAAGGTTTGCATTTGAGACATTAAAAAATAAGAATTGTTGTGAAACAAAAATGCATAGCAAAAGTCTTGGGGAATCCTTAGATGGATAGTATCATTTTAGACTATTAGACCAGGGGTCTCTAACCTGAGGGCCGTGGCCCGGTAATGGGCCGTGGCCTGCTGGCCACTGGGTCGCAGGACAGGCTGGCCAGTGTGCACATATGTACGCACCCCCCTCACTTGTGCTAGCTTAGCAGCCAGGTGCAAAAACAGGCCGCCACCGCATCTCGGGACACAAAAACGGGATGACAATGCGCCTTGGGGCACAGAAATAGGTTGCCGTCACTGCATCTCAGGATGTGAAAATGAGACTCCATGCCTCAGGGCATGAAAACAGGCCCCTGCCACCGCACCTCAGGGTGCGAAAACGGGATGACGACGATGCACCTCGGGGTGTGAAAATGGGCTGCCGCCGCTTTGCCTCAAGATGTAAAAATGGGCCACCACTGTACCGCGGGCCACAGAAACAAGACACTGCACCACACAAGAACAGGATGGGGCTAGTATCACTCAGGCACTAGCCCCGCCCTGTTTGTGGTGCATGCGTGCTCGCAGCACCATGCACGCATGCACGCACACACACATATAAATTGCTTCCCCCTCCCTTTTCCTCCGACAAAGGTTGGTCACCTCTGTATTAGATCACACACAGACACACAAAGAAAATAGAGGGCTGCAAGTACACAGCATTTTGGATTTAATTCCAAAACTATTCTTGAACCATGATGGCACGGTGGTTAGAATGCAGTACTTCAGGTTAACTCACTGCTCACTCAGGAATTCGATTCTGAACGGCTCAAGGTTGACTCAGCCTTCCATCCTTCCAAGGTCAATAAAATGGGGACCCAGATTATTGGGGGCAATATATTGACTTGTAAACTGCTTAGAGAGGGCTGTAATGCACTATGAAGTGGTATATAAGTCTAAGTGCTATTTCTGTTGCTATTTACAGCACAGGCCGTTGCAGATGTAACACTTGTCAGCATTCTTAATTTTCCTTGTTTGAGGAAAAAAGTCGTAAAATCCATAGCAGATTAATTGGAGTTGGCACTACTGTGCATAGTATAAAAGGAAATGTATGTCCCCCTCCCCCTCATTCCATTTATTCTCATGTTCTACTTTTCTTCCTGCATATACACATTGCAGATGTGAACATGAACACAACACAAATAGAAGGAAGGAATTCCTAGAGTCTAAAGCTGTTCTATTTTTACTGAGCTAAACTTCCATCCCTTGCCTCATCGGAAAGTTGACATTAAAATAATACCAGGACTTTAGTTTCAGAATGATTCTTGGAGAATTAATTGCCTAACCAAAATATACACATTCCTTCTTACTGAGTCTGTATTTTTTCCACGCATTTTCCTGCAAGATTTTGAAAATTGGTAGTTCAGCTACAATTTGGATTTCATTTCATTGTCCCCTTTTTGTGCCCTGTTGATGAGTTTCTAGTATCTCACCTCTATTAAAAAATACATAAAATATTTTATGTTGCACTATTTCTTTCTCCTTATTTATATCTAGTTTTATGCACTGATTTCCCTTGGTTATGATTCCTTAATTCGACACCCTGAATCTTGGATTCCAAAAGACAGATAGGATATAATTTGTCATAATGTTGATCTAATTGTGATTTGTAAATCAAAGTCGTATGGCAGACTTTAGCCACAGTTTCCTTGTATGGGCATTAGAAACTCTTTACACCTTTACATCCAAGAACGAAGCACTTAATACATAGTTCATTCCTGGACTTACAAATAGCAATCTGACCTGGGCCAGTGACTCAATAAAGGGAATTTCTTGTAGCAAAGCTAAAAGAAGACCATAACTTCTTTAGACTACAGGTAGTTCTTGTTTTATTAACCATTCATTCATCAACCATTTGCAGATACAATGGTGCTGAACGAAGGGCTTACAACTTGTGCCCAAAGTTATTGTCACTGCAGCACCACCTTGGATGGGTGATCAAATTTCCAGTGCTTGGCAGGCTGCCCACACTGATGGCCAAGGGCTTCAACTCCCCCCACCAACCTATGTTCCATCCATCTACATTCATTTGGCTCCCCTGCCACCCTGTGCTCTGCTACCCCAGGGGATCTTCACCATCTTCCTCCGTCCATTGGTAATGTGATGTACCTGGCCTGGCACCTGGGCCAGGTTGGGCTTGTTTTCAGCTGTGGTCAAAAAAAAAAAGCCAAAAGCAGCCCCTGACTCATGGCACACCAAAAGGCCCCTTTGCAAAAGTTTCTGGAGTGCAGTGCAAAAAAGACTTCCTGGCACACCACAGCTCGAGGGCTGCTCTTGACTTTTTTTTCCCCTTCAGCCAAAGGCAAGCCCTGATTGGGCCAGCAGCCAGGTTAGGCACACCTCAGCAGCAGCAGGAGCAAGGAGACAACAAGGATCAGTTGAGATGGCTCAGCACAGGGTGGCAGGGGACTTTGAGTGCAGGATGGGGAGGACAACTGCGACCAGGACTGGACTCAGATGAGATGGCTGGAGCCTCCTGAGATGTGAAAGCAGGCTCAGAGCCTGTGCAGTTTGGGGGCTTTTTCCTTCTCCATAAGGCAGGGTGCAGGGTGGCCAAGAGATGGGGGGAGAATAGGCATGTGGGGGGAACTGGAGACAGTATTTTATCTTACTGAGGCTCAGAGCACGGCTGGATACTCACTTAACGACTCATGATTCTTGGTTGATGACGGCAACTGGGACTGCTAGAATTGCCATCACTAAGGGACATAGTCATTTGACATCTTGCTTTATAACAGCATCACTTACTTGCCAAATGATAAGTCAAGAACTACCTTTATAAGCAATTTCCTTGCAATGGAAATTAAGTAGGGCCAATGTGAAGCATTCTAAAAATTTGATGCACCTTTTACATATCTGTGTTCCCCATACACAGGAAAACAAGGACCGAAAGGAACAAGCAGCCAAAGCTGAAAAAAGGAAGAAACAGTTGGAAGAAGAAGAAGCTAAGAGGCCAAAAGGGGAAGATGGAAAAACTAGTGAGTCACAAAAAGATTTTTCTTTACTTAGTTCCACAAGCCTGTATTTGCCAGCAAGTCCATTGAATTAAACTAAATTTACTTCTTTATGAACCTGCATGGCTAAAACATGAATAATAGTTGCAAGAATTGGGTATGTCAAATTTAATGAAAAGAAGGACTAGGGGTAGCAAGATAGCAATCTTCCAATATCTAAGGGGATGTCAAAAAGAAGAGTGGGTCAAGCAAAGCAGCTGAAAGCAGGACATGAAGCAATGGATGGAAACTAATCAAGGAGAGAAGCAATCTAAAGAGAACTAAAGAGGAATTTCCTGACAGTTACAAACGATTAACCAGTGAAACAACTTGCCTCCAAAGTTGTGGGTTCTCCAACACTGGAGTTTGTTATGAAGAGATTGAACAACCATTTGTCTGAATTATTATAGGGTTTCCTGCCTGAGCAGGGGGGGTTGACTAGAAGATCTCCAAAGTCCTTCCAACTCTGTTATTCTGTTATTTCACAGAATCAGTGGGAGAAAGTATTTAATCTCAAGTACTGCTATCAGTGTGGTTTTGGCCAGATATCTATTAGCCTAGAGCAGGGGTGTCAAACTCGCAAAGTCACGTGTTGCGGCATATCGCAACTTTTTTGCCATTGCCAGCAATGGAGTGGGTGCTGTTTTGCTATGATGCATCCGGCCCACGGGTTAGCGGTTTGACACCCCTGGCCTAGAGTAAGCCCCAGTGAATTTACTAGAAGGTACTTCTGTCAGTCAGTATGTAGTGGCATTTACAATACTGAAATGCTTTAGGAAGACCTAAATTCAAAGCCATCCTTAGGCTTTGAGTGAGGTTCAATCTCTTAGTCAGCTGATTTCATAATAGATTTTTTGGAGGAAGGAAAAAAAGGAGGAAGGAATGCTATGCATATCATCTTGAATACTAGGCAAATTATAACGCCAGAACAACGATCAGAATATGTATGTGTACAAATGTATCTGTGTAAAATGGATGGATGGATGGATGGATGATAAATTGATAGATAGACACAGATAGAACTATATATACACAAGATACACACACACACACACACATACAAAGAAACTGAAAACAGTTTATTGTTTAATACTATTCTTGTGCAAATACTATCTAAACCTATAATACAATACAGTAATGTGATTAGTCTTAATGCAAGGGAAAAATAATCTCTTTATATGATAATTTGCTACAGTGAAGCATAATACATGAGTAAGGAAATAAAGTTAGGCATTCCAGGTAATTATTCTCAAAATAACCTGAACTATAGTTGCTTGTTCTGTTGTACTCAAGTTTCAGTGAGAACTACTAGAAGCAATCTAAGTGCGCAGTTTTCTCCCTCTCTCCCAGTTATCAGGACTTTCACTTTATGGACAGAGATAGTGCTAACATCTGGGATATTTTTGTAAATTCTTCCACACAGCCAGAAAATAAAACACTAATTAAAAAGAAAGACCTTGGTTGGATGAGATTGTTTGCATAAATGTGATTACTTGGTGGTGCAGTGCTAGAAACTGCAAGGATAAGCGCTCATCAAAGGAAAAGCATTTGGAGTGTTCTTTTTTCCCCAGGTTCCAAAACATAATTTTCTTGTTAAGTTGATTTGCATGTGCAACTACAGCTCAATGGAATCCTAAATAAAATACAGTGAAATGTAGGGACTCCAGTCCATCCACACTCTCAGTCTGATTGACCAACTCCCTTTTTTCTCCAAATTACAAATCAAGTTAAGAAAGGAGCTGTGAAGCAAGAGGAGGTGTGTGTTATCGATGCTTTGCTGGCTGACATAAGGAAGGGGTTCCAGCTACGAAAAACAACCAGGAACAAAAACGGCACAGATACTCCCATGAAAACCACACCTCAGAGAGGAAAAGTGATTGGTAAGAACAGGCAGTCAGAAAATATCATGAGTTTCTTTTTTCCCTATAAAAGTCCAGCTTCTTTCCATCTGTTTCCATTGATGGCCAGTTTGCTTCCCAGTCCAGCTCAAGGGGCTGGTTTTAACCTTTAAGACTCTTCATGGTATGAGCTGTCTGAGGGACCACCTCTCCCCCATTACATTGTCCTGCCCCATTAGATGATGTGGCAGCGAAGGCAAGTTGCAGGTACCATCAACTAGGAATCTTTATTTGGTGGGTCCCAGAAGACAGGCATTCTCTGCTGTCATACTTACTTTATGGAACATTCTCCTACCTGAAATTAGAGTAGCTCTACCCATTTCCATATGCCGAAAATATTCCTATGTCATGAAGCCTGGGTCTCCCTGGCAACTGTAGAATTGCTCAGGGGGACATTTTACCATTCTATGTACTTTTTACATTTATAATATTTATTAATATGGATTTTTATATTTTACATTTTTATTTTTTATTTATCTAATTGTTTCTGCACTGTGCATGCATGCATTTATTTATATCCCATCTTAATTATTTTTACAAATAACTCAAGGTAGTGCTTAATGCTCTTTTTTCCTCCTCTTATTTTCCCCCAAGACAACAACCCTATTTGGTGAGTTGAGCTGAGAAACAGTGACAGGCCCAAAGTCACCTAGCTAACTTTCATGCTTAAGAGAACTAGAACTTTCAGTCTCCTGGTGCTTGGCCCAAAGTCACTCAGTCAGCTTTCATGCTTAAGGGAAAACTAGAACTCACTGTCTCCTAGGTTGTAGACTGGTGCTTTAACCATTACAGTATTTTAATATAATACAGGCCCCAAACACCACCTTTTGTTTTAAGGCTCTAAGTAAGCACAATTGATTACATATGCAGGGCTTATATGTGAAGCTAAATGTGACCCTGTCTTTTTTATGAGTGGGGGCCTCTTTTTAACATTGTGCATTGCAGAGGCAGAGACGTTAGCATGAGAAGACAAGAAAAACTCAGCTCAGAAAAGAAGAATAAAAGTAATCTCTAGCCCTGAGATTATAGTAATTCCCACATTATCACTAGTTTCTCCCTGTTCTTTTTTGTTTGTTTGTTTTTGATGGGCAAGATGGGAAGATTCGGTGGCAACCTTTTCTCAATCTAAGCTACAACTATTTGCATTTGATTTCATTCTTATTTGTATTGTTAATTTTCAGACCAAAGCATTCAGGATGTGAAAGACCCAAAACAAGATGATTCAAGTACGCAAAATAATTTCCAGGACCAAGCAGAAAATGCAAAGCCTTCAGAAGGGGCTACCACAAATGAGAAATCTGAGATGGCTACTGACTCGTTGGATTTACAGAAACCTCCCGATGCCATTGGAAAGGGTATCTCCCCTCCAGCCCAGCCAGATCCCAAAAAGGCTTCCTTACATTCCTTTGTTTTGGAGAAAAATAGAGAAGCCCCAAATGGAACAAATTTGCAAGAGGGAAATGACTCCTGTTCCTTTCAGGATGACAGTGACCATGATTTAGTGTTGTCTCAGTCCACTTCTTTTGTAAAGGTTACAAGTGGTAACTCAGGACATTCAACCAGCCTGAAGATTAAAGCTGATGAGGTTGACTCAGGGGACCCAGCTAGTAGAACTGAACCTGATGGTTCATGGAACCATTTAAATTCAAATGATCAGGTAAACAGTATTTGTAGAAATGATGACGCAGAAGAAAAAATACCTGGAAACACCAAGCAGCTCACAACCTCTCGAGAAATAGCCCTTGAAACTTTGGCACTGCCAGAAGCATGTAAAGCCAATGAAGACCTTTCCTCAGACTCCTTATTAGACACGTCTCAGGATAAATCCTTCTCAGAAGAACCCGTAACTGATTCTTCATATTCAGCAACAGTACCTTCAGAACAAGCTCAAGCTGGAAAAGATGGCCAAAGAAGTTCATCAAAGCGCAAGAAGAAAAAGAGGCACAGCAAGGGCCATTCAAGTAAGGCATTTTCGTTGCGGCCTTTGAACATTAGGGCTAAATCAAGATGACCTCTTTAACCTGTATCCTTCCAGATATTTTCACCTACAACTCCCATCAAATTCAGCTAGCATGCCCAATAGGTAGGACTGATAGCAGACACAATCCAAATTACATGGAAGGATCCAGATTTGGAAAGGTCAATTTCAGATATAGACTGTTTAATTTATTAAACAATCAACTGATTATTTGGGGTGGAGTGCATTATATTAATGCAAGTATTTACAAAAATGTAGATGACATGGATCATTTTTATAAAAATGTTCCCTGCTATTTTGCACCCCAACTGGAATGCCTTTTCTGTTATAGCACCTGGTGCACATACATACATTTGATAAATAATGATTTTCGTTTCAAAGCTATTGTTTTATTCACATGCCATTAATCTAGAGGAGCAACCCTCCAACCTTTTGGGCACCAGGGACCAGTTCCGTGGAGAGAAGTTTCTCCGTGGACCAGAGGATGTGTGGTTTCGTGTGCTGCCTGCATCCCGTGAATGGGGCTTCGCTTGTTTGCATGGCCCAATTTCTGGCATGTTGCGGTCCGGTGCTGGTCCATGGACCAGGGTTGGGAACCCCTGATCTAGAGAGCCCCTTTTTTCCTTGCCCACTGACTGTTATCCCATGACTGTGTTATTACAGTGGATTTTGCTAATATCTTGTGGCTACATTTAGTGTCTTCTCTTTTATTTGAAAGCAGTGGTTGACACTGATTTAAAAGCGATGGTTGATACTGGAGATAAAAAAACAAAAAGAGTTTGTGAGATACAGTGAGGTATGTAAACCGCCAGGGATGCTGCTGTATGTGACTAACCATTGCGTTGGGATCTTATACACCGAATGAAATTGTTGATCATCACTACATAAAGCTATGCTTCTTGTAGCTAATTATATGTACTATGTTATTTCTTTTTTTTTAATACAATGCTTTTTATTTTGGGTGATTTGCTATCTGAGCTCAATCTCTGTACTACTGGAATCGCTAGCAACACTTCAGGCTTTGGGTCTTTTGTGTCAGCCAAACATCATTTACTTGGAGGAAAGCATTGTCTCTTGTTAATTTGTTTAATGTTGTTAGACATGTGGGGTAATAGCAAACCTTCTTTTTGTCTGATCCTCATTTTCCATTTTCTGAAATTCTATAAAAATGCAATTTCAGGTATGGTCATCTTCACTACATAATCAGAATAAGGCTGGTCAAGGGCTTTGAAAAAAGATCCCAGTCCTAATACAAACCTTCAGTCCCATTGTCTTTGCTGAACATTGTTGAAGATGGCTTTGAGGTTGTAGAATATTTACTGATGATTCTGCACTACTGTAAAATATTAATCCAGTGGTCCTTAGAAAATGGCTATAGGATTTTGCAGATCTCCCTCCGCATGGATGGAAGGCAGGGGTCAGCCTTGCAAGTTACAGCCTAGCAACACAGGAATATCTTTTGTAGGATCTGGATCATGTTCTTAGTATCCTAAAAATTCTTAATTATTCCTCAGATTCAGTTTCCATTTGTTTTCAGACAAGAATTGGCCATTCCTGCAATTGCATTACTTTCTCCTTTGTCTTCTGATTGCAAGCAGCCATAACATAAACCAATCAAATGACATGTGACGTTCAAATTCCTTACTATGTAATCAACATGCTTGTTTTACCAATTCATCTATTTTTGTTCTTACAGTGTATTATCAGATATGAAATTATGTGGAGCACTTTTCAGTGATGATTCCAACAACTGTCCATTATGTTAACCCAGGGACCAGGCCTCCTCTTTCCCCCACTCAGCAACAATCTGTTCAGATGTTTTCATTCCAATACTTGTCTCTCCACAAAAGTATCTTCTAATAAAAGTATTTAAAACTATACATTATTCAGTAGTGCAGGAGACATCTTCACCTCTTTAACTTTATAGAGGATCTCCGACTGGAGGGACCAAATACATGTGGAGGTCCTGGATGATCTAGCAACTGTATTTACTATGATCAGTTTTCTGCATGCACACAGCCAACTCAAAGGGTTGACTATAGAGCAGTGGTTCTCAACCTGTGGGTCGGGACCTCATTTGGGGTCGAATGACCATTTCACGGGGGTCGCCAAACAAGGCTGTCCGCCATTTTTTCCCCTTTTCTTTGGCCACGCCCTTGGTACCCGGTGATGTATAAGTGGTTGGGGGTCACCACAACATGGGGAACTGTATTATGGGGTCGCGGCATTAGAAAGGTTGAGAACCACTGCTATAGAGTAAGCAACTTCGAGTGTGTCCATGCCCTCCCTCAATGTCGTGACTCTGGTGTCTGAGCATCAATAGGTACCTCTTCTGAACCACAGTCAGGCCTTTAATTGATCAACCAACTGCAATTAACTTCTTTAATTGATCAAATTTTATCTAGGTGAACAAGGATCAAGAAACCTAAAGAAAAATTGTCTGGAAATGTTTATAAAATGCTAAATAGTAAGATAGAGTGAACCTGTGTTGCCAAACATGCAGGAGTTTGTTCCAAGGCTATAGGAGATGCTCAGAAGGGCTAGATTGAAACCCCTTAAACTCTTCATTCCTACCTATGTCAGTTGCACATTCATTTGGAATCAAAGCTCAAAATTAAATCTCTTCACTTTTCCATTATTATTTTCAGTTTGGACATTTTGGGACCATTATAATTCTGAGCTGATGAGCCCAGAGAATGGTCTAGAGACACATAGTAGAGACATAGTGTTAAAGCTAAGCACATTGCAGTTTGCATGGAATCTATAGATAATGCAAAATGGCTGAATGAACGATGTATTCTCAAAGTGGCACTAAAAATGGACTTTTGCTTTCCTCTGCAGGTGGTGCAGCACGACAGAAAAAGTAAAAACATGCTATTCAGTGGCATCAGCTATTGAAAGAAGCCATAGTAATAGGGTGCAGCTAAATTTTGTCTGGAGATACTTGATAGGGAGTAATTAATACTCAAATATATGATATAACCAGACTTAAAAGCACCCTCAGCATGTGCCTTACACAAAATTCTTATCCTAAAATAATTTTCTGCTGCTTTGGGCCATGGAGTCAATACCCAATGGATAAAATTCTTCGACATAAATTGAAGGAGGTGTCACCTAAGACGGAGCTGGAAAAAGTTGAAACTAACACAGTCATCTTTTGAATTTAACACAGAAAATATTTGAAAGCTTTATGGCACCAATTTCATCTTTAGATAATGTGTCAATTCAGGAAATATGATCCACCCAGGCCTGATTTTGCAAAGATCTATGTTTGAGTTAACATCCTTCAATTTGATTGTGCTATACTTTACATCAGGTTGAAGCAAACAATTTTTGTGATACTATCAGATACATATCACATTCCTGTTTTTACACAAGACTTGCTACTCCAAGGATTAGACAAAAGTGAGATTTGTCTTAAAAGAAAATTAGAAAATATCCTGATACCACCTATGTAGTTGACAGCCACCTAGTGGCAAATGTATGCAATTACTGTCCATATGAACACATGAATTAGTCTACGTGTTTACCCTATCCTCTTTCTCACTACACGCACTGCAACACTTCTTTTCAAGAATACTTCTTCCCAAAGTAATATTATTAATGCAATCCATTTACGTTTTTTGTGATGGTGATAGTAAATATGTTTGGGGTGAGGGATATCTTTTTGTTGTTGCCTATGTATAACATTTAATGGAAATATTTTAGCGTTAATATTGGGAATGTGATTCCCTTTTATCATAAAAACTGAAGTAATTTTTCATAGTTTATAAATACTATTGAGAGAATTGCAGGTTTGTAAATAGCTTCTCCCTTTTGTATATTCACTTATATGAAACTGAAGGTGTAGAAATTACTTTATAAGCTGAATTTAGCAATTATAATTTGGAAAGAAGATACTGACTGAGAGATATCCTGCTGAAATAAAACTAATGCTGTGTTATAGTGGGCTTTGCAAAGCTAAATTCAATTTCCTCCCCAAATCTGTTGGGACAGTCCTCCCAAATATCCAGGAAGCATGCCTTCTCAGGGTCTACACATGAAAGGTTTTGCCTATGTCGCCTAGAATAATGGGGAATTACTCACAGGTCTAGAAGACACCAGGTTTTAAAAAAGCTAGCATGGGTATTTAAAACAAGAAGTTAACTTTTCCCAAGTTTTGGTTTATCACAGAATTTGAACAGAACCCAAGAATGTAATTGAGCCAGGTACCTTCACAGCAGTGTTTTGCAGTCTTGGCATCTTTAAACTATGTTGCTGGGGAATTCTGAGAGTTGGTCCACACTGCTTAAAATTAATAAGATGGAGAAAACGTGCTCCAGATATATTGCACTACAACACCTGTAAATAAGTAGGAAGTATGATGGTTCGGTGCCTTAATGATGCTGGAGACGGTTTCAGCTCCAGGCGTTCGAGCCCAAGCACTGCATGGCAGAGTGAGCTCCTGTCACTCGCCTCAGTTCTGTCCACCTATCAGTTCAAAAGCAAATTCTATGCAAGTAGATAAATAGGTACCACTTCTATGGGGAAATATGCTGGTGCTCTGTGCAGAAGTCAGATTTCTGATGGTTCTAACCTTTCCAGTTGCCCATTCGTGAGGCAGCTCTGGGAAGAGACGGGGGGCCTTGGATGACACTGAAGGAAGAGCCACTCATCTTTCTCTCTCGTGCAAAGCGAGCTTGCCCTCCTATGATGCACTTTGAGAAGCACACAAGTGTATCCTATAATAGGGCTGGTACCTTGGCAAGCCAAACTACTACTCTATAGTATTGTGGTCTCCTGGTTACTGTAACAATGCCATACACTAATAATAATAATAATAATATAATAATAATAATAAGTAGTAGTAGTAGTAGTAACAACAACAACCTGTAATAGTATAGTACAGTGGTTCTCAACCTGTGGTCCACGGACCCCTGAAGGGCTGTGATGTCATCACGAGTTCTGTGAAGGCTTGAAGAAATGTTATGATTTACATCTTGAGTTAAGTCTTGGTGGTCTGTGGCCACAAAAAGTATTTAAAGGGATCTGTGGTGAAGAAAAGGTTGAGAACCACTGGTATAGTACATCTAGAGGTCATCAGGTTGAGGGAGGTACATCTAGAGGGCATCAGGTTGCTGCAATTTTTGGAGATGATTATGGGAGCAGTTTCTGAACACTGGATACTACCTTCCTCCAGTCATGTGAAATTACATAATAGAGCATGTCCTATTTTCACCATACATAGAAGCAGTGAGCAGTGTCACAAAGTGATAAATAAAGGAGATTGGGCTCCTATAGTTGAATCTTCTTACTTCTGCATGCTGATGTAGTTATCAAATTTTCCATTTTTTTAACGGAATTGTTTTCCTTACCAACCCAAGTCAACAATAGTAGGTATTTATCATCATTTTGCTACTATTAAATCTACAGTAAGATTATGAATGAGCCTTCTGATGGTTCTACAGCATAACATCTCCAAGTTTATGTTTATGTGTGTATTTACATAGGTCACATACACTTGGCACAATAAACTTGATTTCATTTAACAAGTTTACAACATTGCTTTTTATTATTTTATTGTATTATAAGTGCTGAAATGTGCAAATCAAATGTTCAGATTGTGTCCATCAAGTTTGTAAGCCTGGCTGAAAGCTTTTGTTTCTAAATATGTTCCATTGCCAGATTCGTTGCATTAATCCAGGGACCAGGAGTCTTTTAAAGTAATGTACATTCCTGCCCTGTATATTTTTTATTAAAATGTTATTAAAATTCACCAAATCTTCTAAAATTTAGGATCTCACTCTTAAGATCTTAATCTCCCATAAGAATACTTTGTGCAAGATTTCTTGATGCAGTTGTGATGGTCATAACAGCTTTTAGTTATTTTAATTGTTAACATTTATTTTTATTGAATTATTATGTTCAAAGTATCCTCTATAGTGCCTTGATTTAATTTGTAGCCTTGTCACAATGGCACTGCAGCTATTCAGTTTCATTTCATTAAGATGAAAACCCCAGAGCTTGGGGCCTTTTATGTCATGGATGGTGAAATTCCAAAAATGCATATAATGTCTTCAATTGATAATATATATCCCACACTCCTAGAACGCTTTTGATATATTCTCGAAATAATAGCATATACATTATAATTTTGAAATGTCTAAACCCAAGTTTTTGCACCCCCTGGAATATCATCTCATACTGGTTGGGAACCCCTGCTCTAGTACAACAGGGAAGAAACCTGCTTCAGTGATGTTTTCATCATGCAAAGTTTTTCTGGGGCATAGTCTCTTCAACCTTCAATGGAAAAGTATGCAATCCCATGGAATCATAGAATGATGGAATCAGAAGGGATCACAAAGACCATCTAGCATAATCCTCTTCACTGTGTAGGAAAACCGCTTGTCTCAAGAAGCGGCCACCCCATCTGTTAAAATGATCTAAAGATTCTCTGCAATGTCAGATATGCATGAACACACTGTCATTATATGACATTATATGACCATACTCCCATAGCTACTTTTGTTGATCTATTTTCTACAATAGAAAGGTTATTCCGATCCTTGCCATTCAGCCATTCATGCAGAAAAGACATGTCAGGCAGGAAAAAGGGGGGGGGGCATTTTTAAAGGTGCTATGTTTGCTACTGAGACATTTGGGAGAATCTTCTTTTATGTCAACGCTCTAACAGGCATTGTTGTTTAATGCCACATTCCAGATTTTTACAATGTAGAGTTTCCATATGCATTGAATTACAACAGTTACAACAACGAAGATGGCTGTTGTAATTCAGTGCATATGGAAAACTCTAGATTATAAAAATCTGGAATGTGGCATTAAACAACAATGCCTGTGTTCAAGCACTGGCATAAAAGAAGATTGTCCCAAAAGTCTCAGTAGCAAATGTAGACTATATACCACCTTTAGCAATGCCACCTTTTTGTCCTACATGACATGTCTTTTCTACATGAATGGCTGAATGGCAGTGATCAGAATAACCTCTTGTAGCAAACAGATCAACAAAAGTAGCTACTGTATGAGACCATGGCATCTCTAACTAACAGTCCTCATGTCACCATGGACCCCAAGAGAGTAATAATAAAGATAGTGATATTTTTCATAGTTCTGCACTGCCTTCTAAACTTTTAATTCTGGTGTATAATCTTTTATGAGAAAAATGCACATTTGGATTTTGAGAGACATACCAGGGTCCACTTTCCAAAAAGTTGGTGAAACTAACCAAAAATTAAACATGATTTAGTTTACATTCAATTACTTAAATTGTCTTGTTGCTTCTTCTGCCACATTAAAAATCAATCACTTTCAACGGTTCTCTGGGGGACACACCTTCTCTACTTGCGAGGTTTGTACAAGCAACTCTGCAACAAGGATTAGAAAACAAATACCAAATTATGGTGGCAATCTAGTTCATGTTTCCCTGTGACCTATTTCTAAAGGTGTGTCAGATCAAGTTTTGTGAATGACTTGAAACCAATACAAGAAAAACAAGTAGAAAAGCAAAGCAGCCCAAATGCAGAAGAGAGCATATGTTTTTAAATAGCTGAAGAAAATAGAATATGAGTCAGACCTGGGGCTTTTTTTAAAGTCACTGTATTATGTCCTAAAACACATTGTTAAGGCTGCCATTTGTGGGGTTGGAGAAGCAACATTACGGGCAATAGCACAAAACAAAAGATTGCTGATACATGACTGTGCCACCTTCAGGTTCATTTGAAAAAAGGTTGTTGGAGCTACCAGACTTGGGCTGTGAGATCTAGATAACTACCACAGAATCAAGAGATTCATAAAAGTTTAACTCTTTACTACCCCATAATTAGTCTTCTAGCTGTCCAATATTCAGCTCTGGTAGCCCTATTCCACTGAATTTGCCGTGAAAGATTAACATGACAATCTACCTGGAAAATAATACATAAATGCAATCACATGGTTTGTCCAGGTGATGGCTCCATTGTGCCCTACAATGAGATTCTCAAGTCATTCTATAAAAGAAATTTAGATTGTGGGCTGATTTACATAATACATTGAAGATACGGTGTTGTATTGAACTTACAAATTATGTCAGTACTAGCAGAGGAGAGGGAGGCAGTTTTACCCCAAAAACTATCCCAGGACAATTATGGATCAGCACCTCTTCAACAACCATGTTATTTGAATCCCAAAGTCCACTTGACTGTGTAGTAGTTGAAGTCTTGTCTTTTCAAAGCAAGAGGTGGAATTATAGACCAATTGGAACAACAGGACCCTGTTGTTTGTCCTCTGACAATTTGCTGCCATGGCCAGACTACCACAAATGCTCTTCCCAAGACTGCCAAAGGCACACCCAGTGATCAGTAGGCAAGAGTCTTTGGATATAAGAAAATAACAACTTTACTACCGGTAGAAATCTCTTGATATGAAGACTTATGGATTACTAGGCAACAAAAGATAGATCGGGGGCCTTTTCACAAAAATATGGATATTCTGATTGTGGAGCTATGATTCCATTCAGTATTCCTTTGATATAATTATTTTATTAAACATTACAGTTAAAGAGATAAAAGCTAATACAAACTACAAAATATAAAAGAATAACAATGATAAGAAATAGCACAGAAAAATGAAAAAATAATATAGAAATTTGAAAAATGAAAGAAAAATAAGAGTATCACAAAGAATAAGAAATATATAAAGAAATGAAACTTCCCTTCATTACAAGTATAAACAATTTTAACAACCTATCAACTTCTCTTAAAATACAACAAAAAATCTTTTCATCTCATATCTTCTCTCTTAACTATAAACAGATTCTTAATCTGTTTATATAAGTTCTTATATTTTATATTTACATTTATAAAATTATTATCATTTAAAATTATAAATTATAATTATTTTAATTATATGTTTATCTTTTATTTTATATCTATTTATAGATAAGTTTTTGAGAAGTTATTATATGTTTATAGAGCTTATGCACTGGAGACAAATTCCTTGTGTGTCCAATCACACTTGGCCAATAAAGAATTCTATTCTGTTCTGTTCTAAATCCTGGTCATTCCATCCTTGTCAGCAAAAGTCTACTAATAAATATTAAATATCTATTTTAATCTTGATCAAATCAACCCACTTTATATGTCAAGAACCAGGAAAATCATTTGATTCAGGCAGTTCAAATGAATATAAAGATTTATTGCAAGCTTGAAGAATCTGACCAACTAGAGATCAAATGAAATGAGTGGGAAATAAGAGAGGCATTCAAGGTGGGCTGGACTTAGATCTCTTGTGGGCATGCAGGGACTTGTGACTTATTTTGTGTTTGACCACTCCCTCAGGCTCAGCCTGGTCATCTCCTACATTATACTCCTTATGATTCCATTTACTGGAGGAAGCAACTTTTAAGATGTCCCAAAAAAGTTTCTTCTGGGCATCAAAGGCTCCACTAAATTGGATGGGCTGTGGAATAGAGGGATAAGGTGAACAGAGAAGCCCAGTTGGTGAAATGTTAAGAAAAAAAAAGGGAAGGTCACTTTCTGCCCAGTTCTTTCAGCAAATATTTCATTCATTTGTGCATCCCAATGGCTAGATTTGAAACACAGCAAACTATAACATAGTCTGCTTTTTTGTAACTTAGTGTGTTTTGTGAATTCAGCCACTGTGGTTGCAAATAATATACCTTGTAACTTAATGTATTGTGTGAACACAGCCAATTGTGATTTATTTAATAAATCATGGTTAAACAACTATGATGTTCTATGCAGTATGAACACAGTCAATACATGTGAGATATCCTTGTTGATGTTAAATTATTTCCTGCCCTCTTACAATTTAATTTATTTTTTTGCTTGTATGGGAGAGCCTATAATTTTCATGGCCCTTGAATGAACATATGCCCAAATTTCAAATGTTACCATCAGATTTGATTTTTTCAGAGAGCAAGAATGCAATCTAATAAGCTGCTAGTCAACAAATATAAAATACTTTAACCTTTCATTATAAAATGTTAAAAACATTTTAAAATATTGCATCAGTTCCAGAAAAATCTGTATTTGCTATCCAATACAAAACAAAACATAATTCTTAAGTTTGCTGATAAATGCATCAAGTATTAAATTGCTGACATTTAGGGAGAAGAATCCTATGGGGAAATTTGGGCCAAAGTTCCTTCAATTCTAAATCAAATAAAAAAGCAGCTATTATAGATGGCGGACTGCAAGAGGCTGTGATCAAAGGCACGTCTGCTGATTCCTAGCTCACCTGGAAGAGCTGTTTCATTGTCCCAATGGATGTTACCAAAGGCACCCAGAAGGATGTCTCTAAGGGAGTTGTTTGAGGGAAAGTGGCAGTAGGAAGTGGGTATGGGAAGGGGCAGGGGAGAATGGAGTATCCTCTTCCTCATAAGCAGTGGGAAAATGAAACATTAAGCATGTTGGCAGATTATCCTCTGTCATGGTTCTTTTTGTTTACCTATGGTCAAGCTTGAGGAGACAACTTTTTATGTATAAAATGTCGCAGATTTTAATCTGAACATTTAGTGATAAACCATCAGAGAAGAGATGG